GACTGGCAGAGGCTTAATGATGGCAGCTCTGTATTGACCAGGCTGCCACATGCTGAAAGTTTGGTCCCAGTCGTCCTTAAAACCCATCAAATGATTATTTTTTTTGATAAAAGAAAAAAAACAACAACACTTTTTTTCTTAACTAGTTGCAGCTCACCTCGCCATCTCAACGCGAGGGATACATATTCATGAAAGATGAAGCTTGACATAATGAAGGGAGATAAGTGAATTTTACCAGCCGTCTCCAAGGTGCCCTAGTTGGAGGCTGAAATGGATCACATCTGATTAGGAGAAGAGGAAAAATCTCCTTTGGTATCTTCCGCCTCCTGAGATGGCGTTACTTTTTCAGCAGCACTACAGTGCAGACTTCCTCCCATCATCAGTCTGAGCAAGACAACCAAAGTGGCGAACGCTCTGTTCTGCCTCACTTCTTTCCAGAAAGACAGGCAGGAGGTTTCATTTGATGGGCCGTTGCCCAGGCTCCCCTCCCTCATAATGGCCTAGAAACTGTGGGGATGCTTTCAAAATAACCGCGCTACAATCATTGCACTGTTTGGCTTGCATACTGCATGCGTATCCAACGTTCTCGACCGAGCTGCAGTAAAAGTGAACCCGCTTCTACCCACTGAAGCACTGTGCTGTCGTGTCTAAGTATTTAAAAACCCGCTCAACCTCTTCCGGGGGAAGCTGGTCCGGGGCCATTTGAACCCAGCGGAGGTTGTCCGCTTCCTTTTGAAGCCTGATCTCTAATCTCCAGAGAGGCTCGTCCTGCTGACTGTGAGGACTAACAGCAGTTATCCGGCACAGCACTAGTCGTTTTCACTGACAGCACTATTCACCAGGAACGGGACCAAAGCTTTCCTCAACACTAGGAGCAGTGGTGGGAAGCGGATCCAGCGATCCCTTTCTGGACTCTGGGTCATGATCTTTGAATACGTTCTTTTGAATCTAGAACATGGCCACACGTCTTTATAGGGTAATGTATTAAAGACCCATGATGCAAACGACCATTCAGGTTCTCAGATTTGTTCTGTCAGCCAATCTCAGAAAGACCCAGTTCTCCAGCTGACTTGTATCTACACAGATCTGGTTTTGGGGTTGATCCCTCATGTGTTTGGTTTAGGAGAACCTGTATTTTGATTCAACTAATCTCTGCTGACTGCAGCCTGCTGTCTCACATCTGAGGCTAGACTCAGAGGACCACTAAACCTTATCTCCTCTTCTTTGTAGCTTTGATGAATAACTAGATACCTGGGGTTTATTACTCTTCACAGTGAGCTGTGGTAGTTGGGCTGAGTTGGACTGAACCAACTCACAGCTGAGAACGTTACCCCCATCCCATCCCATTGGTCGGGCTGTGTGCAGCCCTTGACTGGACTGAGTGGCTGTGGTTTATTTTTAATAGAAATGTTTTATGGAAAACTAAAAAATATATAATCTTAACCACCATTTTAACTAAACCAAGTTTATTAAAGCAGAATATTTGGTTTCGAGAGGCACATGGAGAGAGATGGTAATGGTTTAGGCTGGTTTTGTCATCATAGTAACATAACCTACTTCCATTTAGTCTGTTTAGAGTTTTAACTGAATTAAATTGAAGTTCTGGTGTTCCTTGAAGGGCCAGAATATCCTGTTATTTAAACCGAGTTAAATTGTCTTTGTGGGTTTTTAGTGAGTGCAGTTCAGGTAGACTGAGAAGGGAAGACACCCCCCAGGGTTTTCCTCGACGTGTTTGTTGGATACTTGGATGAAGCAACGGACAAATCCCCACTGCCAAACGTAAAGCCAACGGGGATGAGACGAAAATTCAGTCACCCCTCATCCACTAGGAGCTGGATCCAGAAAGGAGCAGAGTTCCCATGTTAAAAATACCAACTTCACAGCAGAAATAAACATGTTTACAGCCTGGTTCAAAAACATAATTTAGGTTTAACAGGTCAAGAATAACTCCATGATGACTCGGAGGGGAGTGATTTTTTGAAAATGTAATTAAAGCTTGAGCATATGAGTAAATAGGGGCATGCCTGTGATTGATAGGGACCAAGGGAAACGCTGTTAGCACTAGCAGCCTGACTCCTTCCTGCTCCAGGGAAGGCCTCAGCCTCGGCCTCAAGTTAAAAGTGGTACAGCCTAGAAGGCAGAGGCTAGCAGAGTCACTCAACCACAGTTTTCTGACTAAAAGCACCAACCTCCATTAGCTTCGGCTAGCTCAATTCATTTGTAGCTACATCGGCTCATTTTGATGGGTGTCAGTCATCTGCCCCCACCCTCACTGCCCCGCTCTCATCTTCATTTGAGTATTCTCCAGATGTGTGATGTGTCCAAGATGGCGGTGGTGGGAAGCCATTGGGCTCTTCAGAAACCTACGGGTGTAGAGGGTTTGTCCATCTTATAAATACAGTCCATGGGATGAATGTGACTGCGGACCAGTGAATCTTGTATTTGTCTGTTTAGTTTTTTATGAGCAGTCGTGTGAGTTTTAAACTACACCCTAATGACGGAGTGGATGCACTCGTTGGGGATGAGCTGAAGAAGGTTTCTCTGTTTCCACACCAACGCAGGTTGCTGCTGTCTTTCAGATTCAGGCCACCAAACAATCTTACGTGAATCATTTATTACAACAAGGTGGTGTCAAATCTATAACGCCTATAATGTTATGTCTCATGACCGTTATGAAACGTTTGAGTTTAAGATGGCAGCAACACACCTCAGTCCTGTCTCTGCTCTAACTAGCCGTTAGCACGTTAGTCCTGTTGAACACAGACGTTCAGCAGATTATAATTGAGATAAATAATATAAAAATGATATTAGTATTAATTCAATAATAATGTAAGATGGTGAAATTTAACCTGTTTAGTTAGAAATTCAAACATTGTGAGAATTCTTTTAGTTAAGTAGTTTTATTTTCCAGTTCCTGGTATCGGTATTGGTGCCGATACCGATACCAGGAACTGATACCAATGCAGTTGCTTGAAAATGGCTTCACTGTAACTTGTCATTTCTGTTCACCTAATGTTTTGGTTTTGTGATCATTTCTATTAACCCTTTGATGCATGAACTATGAAATTTTCAACCATGATTTTTTTTAACAATTTTTTCATTCGTCTTTAGGTGTGAATGAAACAAATTTCAACAAATATTTTTTTGTAAAATTTTATAATTTACAAATAATTTATTAAATGTCCATCTCAGTGGACAGTGTGCATTCTGAGCATGAAATATGTTGCCTTGGCTTACTGAAGTCCAAATGGAGGGGCTCAAATGCAAAACAGTCTTCGACAGCTGTGCTTAATAGCAAAAACAAATAAATAAGTTTGGGTACCTGTCCACTGTAGTGACCATTATGCATCAAAGGGTTAATATATTTTATTTTGTATCTACCTCACAGTCTTTTCCTTTTTAAAGCAGAGAAGAAAATAAAACCCGTAATCCAATTCATAGCATTTTTTTGTGTGGTAGAAGTATCGGTAATCAGCATCGACGAGTACTCAGATCCAAGTATCGGTATCGTATCGGGTTGGGAAAACGTGGTATTGTTGCATCCCTATTTTCCAGTGCATGAGCCACGGTGCTCTACCAGGGGGCTGACCTGCCTCTCAGCAGGTTAAAGTATTACTGCACTAAGAAAAATTGTCTTCTTTGCCTGAGATGTTTTTTCTGTAGTATATTTGTTTCTTACCTCTGAGCCGTAACCCAACAGGAGGAGGGTGGAAGTCCTAAACGGATGCATTAAAGTGTGAAGAATAACATTTTTCCTCTTGCACACCCGTCTCTACTTCAGCCACTGTCTGATTCACCTGTCCAGGGATTTGAACCAACAGCCCTTTAATTAACAGCCCTGTCCTCTGACCAGCAGTCCCGCCTCGTCCCGCGAGGCTGCAGCTGCTTAAGTTTCATCCTTCTGGTCTCTGTCTTCTTTTCCTGGTGAGATGATTTATGAAATTGCCTTTAAGTAAGTTTGCCAAGTAATTAAAACACAGTCAATTTAATTTCCCGGCCTCATCTATACGTTTGGAGTGGTAATTGAATCTCCTTCTCCACTTTTATATTTTTACACGGCGGTTAGACGAGCAGGGCCCCGTCGTTTCCGATGATCTCACTCACAACAAAGAGGGACTGAATGTCCACTTGTCTCTGCTCCGTCCAGACGAGCTGAGCTGGAATCTGTTTTCCTTTTTTCTGTTGGCTGAAAGGGCCGGGAATTGGATGACTGATCAATAATATTGGATTTGTGGATGGCGTGCGGTGCAGCTGAGTCCAGCATGAATGCACGGTTCTGATGGAGGACCTGCTACACAGACGGCTTTGAATAGTGGATCAGACGCGTTGCCGGGGCGGAGCTCTCGTTTGGCGTAAACACCCGATGGGCAGAGGCGTTAATGGATGACTGATCGGGGCTGTTGTTGGAGGAAAAACCAGTGATTTAGTAGAAACTGGAGCAATATTGAAGCGTAGATAATCCATGCAGGATCAATGTATTGATTGGTGGGTGTGTGGGGGATGGGAGGGTTGAAAAGAGTCTGGAAATAGAAGTGATCCGTGGTGATTACGGCACAGAGCCAGCCCATTGTGTGTCAGAACCAGGTCTCTGTTGCAGAAGGAGGCTCTATTTGTTTGGGGGGGGGGGGGGGGGGGGGGGGTCAGGTGACTCACCCCCACCTCCTCCTCTTCACTCTCTCTCTGTCTCTTCCCTCCTGCCCCACTTGCTCGCTGGCGCTCTATAGCCGTTGCAAGCATATCGATTATTTCAAATACTGATTATCTAAAAGGCCTTCTGCTACTGTAGGCATTGGATTTATTTTGGCTTAATTATTTATGGGCCAGGGATAGCTGTAAGTATTACTGCTGTAAGATCATGAAGGATTACATTGTTAATATTCAGCAGTGCATTTTTATTTATATTCACTCTCAGCTTTACTGGAGGAGCGCTGGCGAGCTCCCTGCTGTGCTGTGCCTCCTCCTCGTCTCACCTTCTCTCTCTCTCGCTTGTGTGTTTGCAGAGGGAGCTAAACTCTGTGGCGTCTGAGCTGGCTGGTCGACAAGAGGAGAGCGAACATTCCCACAAGCACCTGGTAGAGCTGAGCAGGGAGTTCAAGAGAAATGTCCCTGAGGTGAGTCCAGCACCCTGCCCCCCATTATCTCCACTCTACGTGTCATTTTCCTCATCTTCACCTCAGCAGGAGCTGGCTGTCTGCTCCACCGCTGCTGGCTCGGCCCCACACGCTCTTCTGAGCAGAGAATTATTTATATTGTTGGTGAGACCTGCATTAGGATGAAGTCCGAGACCCCCTCCCCTCCTCGGCTAAGTTCTGAATGTTTTGGATTACTGGGACGAGAGGCCTTTGGGCTCATTTACTGAAGAGCGTTTGGTTCCTGATTTACTCCAAAACCAAAAACGTTTCAGCAAAATTTTGATAAAAGAAATCAGGCCATATTTCCAAACATAAGCTTGTCAACAAGTCTGAGATGTCACATGGTAGACGAACATCAACAAAGTGTAAACCCTGTCTGACTGGACACAGTAAGCAGTGACATTCCACTCAGCTCGCCGTCTGGTTCACTCGACTATTTAAAAGCTTCAGACGGGTGTTCTAAACAACGTCCCGCGTTTCTGCGTCTTTAAAGCAAAACAAACGTTTAAATTAAAGGAACAAAACAAATGTTTAAATTAAAGGAACGGCGTGTCATGACTACTGCCATCTAGTGGTCAAAGTAGAGAGGATACAAATGCAGCCCAGCTGTCATCTAATAGCAGAATCACATGACCAGAAAAACAAAAACAAGCATCTTTGTCTTTCACTGGTTCATACTGGTACTGAAATCTGAAACAGCCTCTGCGACAGTTCGTTCAGAGTCTAAGTGGACTGAGTGTGTTCATCTGCTGCCATTGCTCAAAGCTGCTATAGCTAATCTACAGAACAAGCTAGGTTTTGAACGCAAACACTCACCTCTCCCCTCTGCGTTTTGTCCAATCACCATGCATTGTCTGATTGGCATACACAAATTACAGCGTATGCCTGTCTGACAGCATATACTGTCAGGTCATCATACATTTGTTAGCTGTATGACACTTTGATGGGCCAGTTTACCTGTCAGATTATCATAACCCTCCCACTGCCCTGATGGGTGTGACCCCACGAGGAAAGTTGACCATTGAATTGATGGTTTATCCCTTGAGGTCCACGTTGCAGGGGTGAGGTGGTGCTCACTCCTCACCCCTGCCACGTGGACCCAAGGGATAAACCATCAACCCTGCTCAATGGTCACCTTTCCTCGCGGGGTCACACCCATTAGGGCAGTGGGAGGGTTAAACACACCGTATGACACCTTGACTTGTCAATTTGGTATATTTTAAAGTGATAGTGTGTATTTTCGCTGGCGATAGGGGGCAGTACATACCTAAATCATTGAAACCGAGCTGTATTTTTATGTTTGAGTAAGACCTTTAACAACAGATGGCCATTAGGGTCATATGGTAAACATTATGAACACAATCAACACACAAATTCCTGTTTATGCTTCCACTGGGCCTGTTATCAAACTACATATGGATCATTCATTCTAAAACACAAAATGTATTTGACCTTCTCTTTTAGGGTTCAGGTCCTGTTACCATCAAAACCAGGGTCGTGACACCAAAGTGTTTACTGCTTGTGTTGTTTGGTGTACATAGCTGCCGTGTTGTTGTTTATTACGTCCTCTGTGTGTTGTCGATCCTGCACATTTCTGCAGGACAGGACAGCCTTAAAGGCAGATTAAACTAAACACATGAAATAAAAGGAGTTTGTCCTTTTTAGCAGCTTTCTTTGAAACAATCATCCACTGATGTTTGTCTGAGGAGAATATATTTTTGTCTGATGAACGAAGGCTGGCGGCAGGACCGCCTGTCTCCCTGCGTTTGGGTTTGCGGCGTCGTGCGGTAATCTTGTCACTATAATACAGGCGTTTACGACAGGATCACGCTGTCACCACTGGCAGCACAATCCCCTTACCTGAGGCTGGGAGATCTTGCACAAGTCTAGATTTCTGAGCTCTAACATAAGCTACTGGAAAGCCCCACTTTTCTTACATGCCCAGTCAAACCCTTTAGGTTTAAGCACTAATACCCTCCCCGTTCGACAGAGCGCCTCACCGGCACACCGAGCAAGAGGAGCCACAGTGAAAATCCATTAACGTTAACGGGAGCCGCTGGTGCCTCACTGGGTCCGGTCTGATTCCTGAACAGGTGGAGCGTCCGAGCAACAGAAATGTGCTGAGACAGTTTTTTTTTTGTCTGTACATAGGAAGTCCGGGAGATGGTGGCACCTGTTCTCAAGAGCTTCCAGGCCCAGGTGAGTCACGTGTTCCTGCATTTATCATTTAGAAACAGAGTCTGGAAGCCACAGAGCAGCATTTTAATATGATCACCCAAACGACCTAAAGGAGGCCCTCCTGTTGGACGCTGTATGAACATTGACCCGAACGGGCTGCTCCGCTCCTTGAATGAAAGGTTTGATGGATAGTGAGAGAAATCCATGGCTGCTTACCTTTCATGTTGCTGTGCATCTGCTGCTTATTGACGGATGCCTTTTCTGTCAAAGTGAAGCAGAATCTATCTGCCATTAGATGATCAGATATCTGGCTTCTCATATTTTCTTGGCTGAGACAAGCCCTCATTTCCTGTTGTGATGGTGCATTCACCATGCCCTCTCTGACGTCGCCATATTGAAAAAGTCATCTGATACCTCCAAAGACTCTGCTCCAGCCATTAAACCAAGGTCATAAATCACATTGTGAGCTGCGTTATGGTCCTCAAAGCACAGGCTTATGGAAACGATACCACAAATATGTTTCCAGTCTGGTTCTCGCCTCTAAACTCCAGCATGGCGCAAACCTGAAAGCCCTATCATATGTACACATGAGAACACTCAGCATGGGGGGGTTCAGATGCCTTCGAGGTGATTATTGGCAGCTCCTTTTTAATGCTTTGGAGCGGTGCACGGCCAGGCGGCGTGCTCCCGAGCTGGAGCCATCGGTGCCATGCTGTGGTTGATTTCTGCGTTAATTCAATTACTGTAAAGCTGCAGAAATATCCGAAGCAGTCGTCCATATCTTTATTGTGCAAACAGGAACCCAAAGGATTAATTTAGGCACCACTGATGTTTGACAACTGGGAGTCTGGAGATGCTTTATAGTAGATAAACTAGATGGCTGATAATGAGCTATTTTTATTATTTTTGTAGCTGGAGGCCTCTGGGTCCTTCTTGCTCTCTTGTGTAACTTTCATGGGTTCGTGTTCTGCTCATTGACAAGTGTGTGTGTGTGTGTGTGTGTGTGTGTGTTTGTAATGTGTCTGAATGCTGTGAGGCCGAGCATGCATCTCAGCACACCGTAGAACTAGTCCTCTGGTGTTTTCTGGTACACTTAGACCTTATTGGTAATGTCAAACAGCTTGCAGAGACTTGTGAACTTTACCCGGCAGTAGTCTGTTTGACCTCGGCGGGACCTGGACCTGCTGCTGCAGGGGCCAAGTGTGAGGAAGGGGAGGAGCTGGTCGTAGGCTAACGCTCCCCTGCAGCTGCGCCATACAGGTGGTGAACGACGGAGGAGTCCTTGTGTGTGTGTGTGTGTGTGTGTGTGTGTGTGTGTGTGTGTGTGTGTGTGTGTGTGTGTGTGTGTGTGTGTGTGTGTGTGTGTGTGTGTGTGTGCATATATGTGGGAACAAACTGGGTCTCGCTCCCCCCTCCCACACAACCTCTGTTTGGAGGCCCAGAGGAGCGCCTCCTGGTATTTGGACCCTCACCACGCCACTTCTAAAGGAGAAATCGACTCCTTTGAAGTGTTAGCAACATGACAGGTTCCCTTTCTTTTCTTTTTCATTTCTGCGTTCCCCACCCACTTTCTCTCTCTTCTCCCGTCCAATCTTGCCTTCTAATTATCACTAACCAGGCGACTGATTAGAAACACGTTGCCGACCTAGTTTTCTGTGGAGCTGGAGGAGGAGGAGAAAGGGTTAATCCCAAAGCTGGTGGCTGTCATTGGTCGCTTCCCTCCTTCTTCTCCTCTTTTTCGTTCCGCTCTCCTCTTTTCTTTCCCTGGAAGTTTGCTAATGAGGTCCCGTCAGAGCTGAGGAGAGGTGTTAATTTGGCCTTGTGAAGTAGGAAGGAGATTAAGGACAGTGAGGAGCCGAGTTTACGGCTTAAAATACACCGCTGTCCTTATTAATCCACAGGGCCCTGGGAGACCAGCGTTTTTGGTTTTATAATGAACACGGGCTTATAATGAAGGTAATTTTAATAAAAACTTACTGGGAAGAAGAGGAGGAGGTGCTACATGTCTCTGTGGTGTGAGGCACACCTTTGGGGCCGAGGGATGTGACAGTTGTTCCTCTAGTCACCCATCGCTGGAGAGTCCGGCCTGTTGGACCACAGCTCTCCCTCCAACATTCACTAGACCGTCTCACCAAGACTATGTAGGCTTCTCACTGCAGTCTACACCCTCCATCACTTTAGCATGTACACTCCCCTCAGGATGATCCGCTGTGAAGTGAGGGAAGGAAGCTAAAGAAAGTGAGTGATTTCTTGTATGTTCCTTCCAGATTCCTCTGTTTCAGGCCTCAGATCAGACCAGAGGAACAAGTACTCCTCTCCTCTCCTCTCCTCTCCTCTCCTCTCAGAGTAAGAAAACAGCAGTATGGTTCCCTAATTACTGAAACTTGCTTTACAATGATAATCCGTGGAGTAATTTAGCGTGCACAATGAGAGTTGTGGTGCTTACGCAGATGGAGATTCTGATAAATAGTTTGTAACGTGTAATTAGCAGCTCTGCCGGTTACATGCCATTAACCCCTCCAGCTCAGGAATCATTATTGGCCCTCATTATCAAGCAGCAAGGTACGATCGAGCTGACTAGACATCAAAAACATCAAACAGCTATTAAAGCGCTGCGAACGGGGGGCTGGTGGACACCTGTTTATGAGTCTAACTGTGCCATTTCTTCCCCTGAGGTTGGGAAGTGATGATGTGAGGGTAGACGGTGTTTTTATGTGCATTGTTGTTTTTGCTGTTGTTGCTTGTTCTCTTTGAGAGCACGGGAGGTGTTTTGAAGATGCAGTAGCTTTTGTCTGAATTAAGAGATGTCAGAAACGGCTGCGGAGGCTCATCCGTGTGACTGAGATCTGGCATCCTTGTGTCTGTGAGAGCCGCAGCTCGTGTGAGCGCGGTGTTTTTTATAATCCACCTTGTCAGGCGTTGTGTTTGAGAGTGACAGCAGGAACAGGGAGTCATGTGCGACTAAAGCAACCAGAGTTTTTGTGCTGTCGCACCCATTTGCCTCTCAGAAGCACGAGTGCAACGTCTTGTGTAGGAGGGTTAGGGTTAGGGAACCGCCAAGGTACGGAGGTAAAGGCAACCACCAGCTTTGATCGTCCATCGAGAGACGACCAGTTCTTCCTCCTCTTGATTCATTCCTGAAGGGAATGATAATTTCTTTGAATGTGTGAATATGTTATGAATACTGGAATGAATCAAAGAGTAAAGGATGATAATTAATTACCGCGCTATGATAAAAGACTGTGGGTGTTATGACGCAAGCCTCCTCCGTGTCATTATGAGAGGCTCCGTAATTACCTTTCTGCACGAGCCAGCGCTCCTGGCGGCGCTGGCGGTGAGAGCGCCGCTCACTGAGTGAGTCTAACGGTCATAAAGCTTTTCCCTGCCTAATTGTCTGAGGGGCTCTATGGCACTTTCATAGATGAGGGACTGCGCCGTTAGGAAAAATGCTTGGCGGCACTACAGCTTTTCCAGCTCAATGAAGACAGATCTTCATCACAGGCTAAACCTTGAGCTTATTAGGTACAGACTGCCTGAGCGGATGGCTAACTTGGGAAGGCGGTGTCAGAATGAGCGAGCAGCAGATTTATACAGTCTGATTCAGTTTTAAAAGCAAGCTGCTGCTGATTTCTTTGCACATCACATATTATAGACTCATATCTCTGTACCGATAAAGCAGAGCTGACCTCCCAGGATTCCTTTTGTTATTGTTCATTCCGTTCCTTATGTAAGGGGCTTTTACGACTGCATCTTCCTTCTCCCTCCCACTCTCCCATCCTCCCCCCCAGCTATGACCAGACTGGGCTGACGAGGTATCTCTAATGTCTGTCTGCTGCTGGCCTGTCAGGCTCATTGAGCAGCAGGCCAGGCCCGAGATCTCCAGGCCATTACCTATTCACAACACGTCCAGGCCTCCAGCTTATTGTGGGTAACATAATGGGCTTCAGGGCCATGTAAACCACTGGCTTCCCGCTCCAGGTTTATCACTTGTGTCCTCTTTATACCAGTGGGAGGGAGGGAGGTGGGAGGCAGGATGAGAGGAGAGAGAGAGTAAAGGGGGAGGGCTGGGGTGGGGGAGTGTAATTGGATATTAGATAATACCTTCCTTTAGTCTTTTACATCCCTGCCTCTCCAGACACTGAACGCTTCGCCGGCTTTTCACGTCGGTGCTGCACGGCTGCTTTGACCCAAACTTTTATTCTGTTTCTGTCTTTATTACTTTCCTTTGATTGATTGCAGTAAATCAAATTAAACAGTCTTACATGTGAACACTGGAGCAGTTATTGTCCATCTGCACCTTAAAGCTTAACACCACACAGAGATCCCAGGTCTAAGGTCTTTGGACAGGACAGGAGAACCTCCAGGAACCCGGTTCCTGTTGATAACTGCAGAATAATGTCAAATGCACTAAGTATGCTTGAAGTCGCTTGTGTGTATTGGTGTATAGTGATACAGAACGATGTCACAAATAAGCTAATTAGGGCATTCACTATTCCATATGCACAAGACTCTAATTAGCCCGTTTGTGACGCTGGTGTTCTGCTCTGCTGTAGCCCTCCTCATCATTCCAGCCTTCTTCTCCTCACTTTTACTCCATCTGACGTAGCTGACTTGTCATTAAAAGGACTCTTCTCCACATACGCTTGTTTCTCTGAAAGGCATGTCAAACATCACAGATCATCTAATAAAACTATGTTTTAAGCACAAAGACTACTTAAGACGTAGGATTTTTAGTTGTGCAACTCAGACAGAACAGAAATGAGGGAGAGCAGGACAGAAATGCTGTGTTTAAACTAAAAAGAGTGGCTGAGCGACTTGTCTGCTCATACTTGTGGTGTCTCCTGGGTAAACGGTTTGAACACTGTCAGACTTTAACGTAATTAGTTCATTTGGTAAAACTCAGCTGCTTTTTGTGTCAGATTTGCAAAGTAGCTGTCTGAAGAATTAAAACTACGGCACATCATTTTCTCTAGATAAGTGGAGATGCTGTAGCTCAGATCTTCTGGTGTGACATGAAAGCT